AGTTCACATGTGATTGTGATTAGAGGGAGGCTTTCGTTAGTACAGCCTTTACCAGAACTTTTAAAAATAAATCCTCAGAAACCGCTCTGTTTTTTAGCATAGGTCGTGCTCTCTGCTAGACCGCGGGCTGGAGGCACTGCAAATATAAATGTACTCTAATATTTAACAGCTAGTTTTCAGCATTTCTCACTTATAAGACGGTTTCATAAAATGTATGTTTCACACTCAAGACACACCGACATTAACATTGGAGATGTCCGGTATCCTATTCTCACCCATATTTTTGCCTATTAATGACCACGGTAGTTAGAGGTTCAAAAACTAATAAATATAATTAATCCTTTAATCCACCAAATTGCGTTCAATTACAACTTGTTACAATGTACTAGTTTTGCTGTATGATTTGTTGTTGAAAACGATGTAAAACCTTCATAAAATTCTTCTAATTTGATTTGACACTTGCCGTCCTAAAATATGTGTAAATTATAAAGAGTATTCAAACAAAAAATATTTTACATTAGCAATTTATCACTTACGATTTAGTTCTGTCAGTACCGATATTTTTAGAGGCTCTATAAATGGCAAAATAAAGGAACTATATGTTAAGACTTCCTAACTGAAGTATGCCTACTTTTTTGTCTTTTTAGTCCGTGCTTTTTTCTCCTCCTGCTTCTGTTCCACAAGATAATATTTAGCCATAGCATCAGCCCATTCGAATGGGGCATGATAGTCAATTTTATAATCCTTAAGTAGCTTCTCAAGCACCTTTTCATGTTCCTTCAAGCATATCTCTATAGTGTCCAAAATGAATTCGCTTTAGCTCAACAAACCTCATATTGTGGTCTATTGGCTCCGTCGATTTTATTAATAAGGAGCATGATTTTTGCGAGGTCTTTAGGAACAGCTTTCTCATGAAATATTACGTCGTCATCTAAATGTTCTAGTCTGGTTTTGAAGTAATATTTCTGTAAGGAAAAGAAAAAAATTTTGATTAGTGTTACATTTGTGACCGAAGAAGCATTCTTTCATGAAGTACATTTTGTCAAGATTATCTTCGTTAGACCAAGGCAAGTAATCCGTTCCAAAAAGTTCGATAACCTGAAAAGCGGAAATGCGAGATCTAAGGGACAGTTGTAGGGCAAGCCAAAATCAATCAACAATCAAATGACCATTACCATATAGTACCATGACTCCATATCTTCTTTCCGATTCACAACCCTTCCTTGATGAGTTGCACGAGCTGCATATTTGGGCGTTCCAATAAATTTATAGCGTGATTCCTTAAAACAGCATAATATGGTATGATTTGAAAGAATTGCTGCT